ATGCTGAATGCATCTGCAAAAAACAGCTTTACTGCAATCTATGTTTTCAGTAAAAAAAGAAAGATATCAAAACTGCAAATTCTCCTGCTACACGCAAGTTAATATCTATATCACTCAGACAAAACCAAGCAGACTTTTGCCTAGAGACTTGATTCCAAGAATATCTGAAGCACCTGAAAAACCCAGGAAAAGCCCAGCATTTGATGTCTCCTCATAAGTGTGGGTGGACCCATCATAGGAGCCTTACTTTTTCCTTTCATTTTCTAGTATCCTGAATAAATCTTTGAAGTACTGGGGAACACGGACAATCACATTTTCTGAAGGACCTATATCTTTGAGCTCAGGATAGAGTCTGGTGTCAATCACCTTCTTGATGTATCCCAGCCAGTCAAACTGCAATGACAAAGAAAAGGCTGGTTAAAGAAGATTATGAGGAGAGATTATTTATTAACGATGTTGCATCTTTGAGACTACTTGTTACTTATTAAAACTTCAGAAACTATTGCACTTTGTCATTACGTGTGTTTTCAAACCTCAGTAAAGTCATAACTATTTAAAAGAACATATGTTGTAATTGAGTGCACATATTCATAATGATAACCCTTTAACAGGCTGCTCTGTGCACTAAAGGCAATTTTAATTCTATAGGTCAGATGTTAAAAAAATAATTTTGCAATTATCCCCAACGAACCTGTGGTATCATGGTACTAAGCTCCGATATGTTCATTTTATTGTACATCACCTCGCTTGTTCGATTTTCATATGGAATCATGATCTGGGGGGGGGAGGGAAACAAGAAAAAAAACATCAAAACAAGGATTATCTTGCAAGGACCTGCTCTTACATCATTACTGTCCATCCTAATCCCAGTGCAGAAATATGTCACCATCTGTTTTTCAAGCATTCATGGCATTAACTTCACTTTCTGAGAATGGCATTTAACTAGGAGAAATGGAGCACAGTTCATTGTCAGTTTAACTTATTACTGGGGAATGTAATGAGCTGCATGTCGTCTTTGAAGATATTAGAACAATTTTAGCTCTGATTATACTAAGAAAATGCGTGTTGATTCAGAAGAGATAAAAACACACCTTGACCATTAATACTTATTCATCCTGACATGTCAGCCAGCTCCAAACTATACGGTTTAAAAGGTCAGATCTGAATAGGTACGTTGGAAGCCCATCTCATCTCTTGGATTTGAACATGTTCTTGCTATGGCCTGACTCCTTCTGAGGGAAGAGCCAGATACACACAAGTTTCTCCTCATTTTACACCAGCATCCTGATTTTCATAGCAGGAAACCTGGGTATATGGGCCAGACATGAATTAAAGCATTCTCCAACAAGGCCTCTCATCTGGGTGAGCAGAGGAGCCAGACCTCAAGATCCTCTGTAGTGTCAAAGTCCAAGGACATAGCCAAAAAAACCCTAAATAAAAAGCAAGTCCTTTCACAACTGACAAGGGACATTCAGATTCGAAGACATCAGTATGGTTCGTAACAGAAAAACAAACCAAGTGCAAGATATAGCTCAACATTTTTCTCAGTGTTCAAGAGAAACGAGAATTCCCAATGGCAGCTCCAGCCCTGCTCTAAGCTAAATCCTATACAACTGGCTGTACGCTGTGCAGTTTAAAGAGGACAGAGATTGAAGCCAGACTAACCAGACAGCTGGCAGTTCTCCAACCAAAATTCTCCAGTAAGTGTCTGCGGTTTTACTATTGCTCAAGCCACACAGGGGAAAAAAAGAAAAAAACAGAAAAAAACCTTTCTTCTCTCCTTCTGCAAATTTCATTTATCTGACAAAACTTTAAACTCTTCTTGAACCCATTTGTTCCCTTCCTCTCAAAACTTTCCCTCTTCCTCCAGTAATTCAAACCTCAAGATCTCTTGAACCCTGCCACTCCTTCCTATATCCAAAGTATCTTCCCTTTATTCTTGCTGTCTCTTTTCCTGAGCACACAAGTTCTCCATTATGTATGTTCACTTAAATCGAATACAGAGGAACAGAGGATACAGTAAAAGCCCAAGTAACAAACAAGACTATCTCCTTTGAAATCAGGGTAAGATGTTTATATAATTCATTGTGCTCATTAGGCATCATGCAACAATCCATGCCCCTCAACTCATGCCTAATATCCAGCTATATTTCAGGAGGATTATTCATAGTAAAGGGAAATTAGGTAACCGTGAGCAAGTATGGCTTGTTGCATAATGCTATGCATTTCTGATCCTGAAGGCTGCACATGATCAAAGTCATCTTATATGACAATTTCACCTATATACTTTGTGGATTAAAGCTCTGTAAAATATTCATTAAGTAAAACATTAAAGCTACCAGAGGTAGAAATGCATCGTCTTTTCACATCACCAATAAACAGAAGAAACATTTCCTGGTTTTCGAGTCTACTGGGTCAAAACAAAGTATCTGCTCATTAGTCCATCTAGGCTAGGTAATTGAAACTAAATATTGGGGTTTATTTAGAGGGTTGACAAAAGGTCGTCTCCTCTTTCAGCAAAGAGATGGAAACACTGATTTACTACTATTGTGGATGGCCCTCAATTCTGCACACAAGCACCATTAAGAAGCATCACTGCCTTTCCTCCTGTAGATGGCAACAGCCAGGGAAAAGTCATTTTCTGCTGCATCACCTGTCCTGTGCAACAGGCTTCTCTGCTAACAGGACACCCAGCACTTCACAGGGGACAGTGGGAAAGATAGCTTCTTTCCCTGGCAATATGAAAGAATCCTCAGCTCAACTGGCAGTTCTGCAAATCAGCATCAAATCTGTAGACCTAACTTTTGCTGGATTCCAAGTGTTGAGGCTAAATCTTCCCTCCCACTTTGGAAGAAGCAGAAACAATAGTGGACTTAGAGTTCCCAGGAGCTGGATTCCTCCAGTATCCATACTGAAACAGGGATATGGGAAAGGAGAAATGCTCTTTCAGCCTGCACAAGTCCTAATAAGTAAATCAAACTCTCCTATGGGGCAAAAATGTCACCAAGTAAATCAGTCAGAAACAAGTGTCAGATTTAGATCTGATTAACTCTAAGTTCAGTTGGTCCCCTAAATGAACACTCACGGAGTTTCTTGTCCCCTCTCCAGGGTAGGTGGTGAAAGCAGCTCAGGAACTAACTGTGGTGCTGCTGTAACCACTGCCCTCTCACTATACCAAGCATCAATATCCCACCTCAGTGCTGCCCTGCTTTGAGACTGTTCCTCAAAGAATCAGCCTGGTCTGCTTCTTGAATAGAGAGTAATGCATTCACAACATAGCTGCACCCCTGGGACTCAAATTCTGCTCAACCTCAAAATTAAGAAATATTAACGATTTAAAGGACTGAGGGTATTTGGCTAAGGTTTTTTCCCCCAAGAATAAAAACAAAAAAAAATCAGTTTAACAACTAAGGGGAGGAAAATCGTTCATCCTTTCTTCATCAGGTACTGCTTCTTCACTTGTACTTCCGAAAACCACTATTGCTAAGACTGTTGATGTAATGGCTTTCCATTTTGAAAGAGGATTGCACTTATTTTTCTTTTTTTTCTTTTTTTTTTTTTAAAGCTAGCTTCAATCCCACATTAAGTTACCAACCTCAGCTATTTTAACTTCCAGTCTTAGAACCGACTTCATATCAGATTCAGCTCGTGAAGCATTTGCACCCAGAAGCACTGCTGTATCAATCATGAACTGCAAAAAGGCATCTCTGTACTGTAAAGAACAGAAAAAAGAAAAAAAAGAGTGAAATGACCACTGGATTTGCAATGAGCACAGCTGTAGTAGTAGGCCAAAAATGCCCAGCTATAGCAAGCAGTACAGTACTTTGTACTTTTATGCCCTAGCAACGAAAGTCATACTTTCCTTACCTTGAATGCCTGCTGCCATCAAGGAGAAAAGGAGAAATAACACTGTAAACATATTGTGCACAACAGACATCTGCAGTGGTTCACAGAGCATAAACCTCAGGAAATGCAAATGACTCTTTGGGATTAGAATGACAACACTTACAGCTCTTACAGCGGGATTAAACAATGTGTATGAGTATACACCAATATTTTACACAAACTCATATAGTAAAAGCGCAAGACTGAAGAAGTACGTACATACCAGTACAAGCTTAGTGGCTGAAAAGATAGGGAGTTGAAGGGACGCTCCACTGAGCTCTCTCCTCTATTCTTGCCACAGCACTGCAACACACATACCTGCTACAGTGCTCTGCTCTGCTTTCCCTAGGCTATTGTAATAAAGCATATTTTAGTCTCAGCATGTATACACAGCCTTCCAGTACCTAAAGGTGGCCTACAGGAAAGCTGGCCAGGGACTGTTTACAAGGGCATGGAGTGGTAGAACAAGGGGGGATGGCTTTAATTTGAAGGACGGTAGATTTAGATTAGGTATAAGGAAGAAGTTCTTTATTGTGAGTGTGGTGAGGCACTGGAACAGGTTGCCCAGAGAAGCTGTGGATGCCCCCTCCCTGGCAGTATTCAAGGCCAGGTTGGATGGGGCTTTGGGCAACCTGGTCTAGTGGAGGGTGTCTCTGCCAGTGGCAGGGAGCTTGGAACTAGATAATCTTAGGTTCCCTTCCAACCCAAACCATTCTGTGATTCTATGAAATGTTAGCAAAATACACTGTATGTAATGATACAGTAGTGATTTCTATGCTACCTCTCCCTCAGCATAATCTTTCATGCATTTTGAAGGTATCAGATTGCTCCTCATCAACTCCTACTAGCCCACAGTCCAACAAAAGCAAAAATATATCCCAATGCATTTCCACCTTTAATCTTTTAGTAGATACATTTCTTTGTATCCTGGCATCATCCGGTCTGATAGATGTAGCTAAAAATCTTACTAACCTCTCAGGGGATTTAAAAGGGAAGCAAAAAACATCAATGGGTAAAAAGCTGGATGGATGGCCAGGCCCAAAGAGTTATGGTGAGTGCAGTTAAATCCAGGTGGTGGCTGGTCACAAGTGGTGTTCCCCAAGGCTCAATACTGGGGCCAGTTCTCTTTAATATCTTTATCAATGATCTGGACAAGGGGATCAAGTGCACCCTCAAGTCTGCAGATGACACCAAACTGGGCAGGAGTGTTGATCTGCTTGAAGGCAGGAAGGCTCTACAGAGGGGTCTGGACAGGCTGGATCAATGGGCCGAGGCCAACTGTATGAGGCTCAACAAGGCCAAGTGCTGGGTCCTGCACTTGGGTCACAACAACCCCATGCTATGCTACAGGCTGGGGGAAGAGTGGCTGGAAAACTGTGCAGTGGAAAAGGACCTGACGGTGTTGGTTGACAGCCGGCTGAATATGAGCCAGCAGTGTGCCCAGGTGCCAACAGCATCTTGGCTTGCATCAGACATAGTGTGGCCAGCAGGACTAGGGAAGTGATCGTCCCCCTGTACTCGGCACTGGTGAGGCTACATCTTGAGTACTGTGTTCAGTTTTGGGCCCCTCACTACAAGAAGGACCTTGAGGTGCTGGAGCGTGTCCAGAGAAGGGCAGCAAAGCTGGTGAAGGGTCCAGAGCAGAAGTCTTATGAGGAGCACCTGAGGGAACTAAGGTAGTTTAGTCTGGAGAAAAGGAGGCTGAGGGGAGACCTTATTGCTCTCTACAACTACCTGAAAGGAGGTTGTAGCCGGGGGGTATTGGTCTCTTCTCCCAAGTAAGAAGTGATGGGATGAGAGGAAATGGCCTCAAGTCGTGCCAGGGAAGGTTTAGATTGGCTATTAGGAAAAATTTCTTCACCAAAAGGATTGTCAGGCATTGGAACAGGCTGCCCAGGGAAGTGGTTGAGTCACCATCCCCGGAGGTATTTAAAAGACGTGTAGATGTGGTGCTTAGGGACATGGTTTAGTGGTTGACTTGGCAGTGCTAGGTTAACAGTTGGACTTGAGGGTCTTAAGCATTTTTTCCAACCTAAATGATTCTATGAAAACTATAAAAACTTGATCAGTAGCAATGACTTGTCCCCCCTGACAACTCAAGGGGGTTGTTTTCTTTGAGCTTTGGGCTGTGTGTGCTGGGTACTGCCCACAGAACTTCATCAAGTGAGGGGGAAAAAGGTGCTGCCATTGTCAAATATTGATACATTAAAGCCTTTGATAAACATCATTGGTTCATGACTGCTGTTCACAGAAAAGCAGCACAAAACTAAGCTGTAGCAAAGAAATCAAAGACAGGAGGGAGAAAGGAAATGAATACTCAAAATCTGTTGAGGAACTCTTGTTCCCTTCATTAAATGAATTCAGGTTAACTTGATGATAATAACCTACAGTGGGGGCTCTTGAAACGTCCTCAGCCTTCCAGCCTAATTCAGCCCAAGAGGCAGGCCTGGAGGGCAGCTCATCAAGGCAGCCCACAGGCACAGCAGCTTCTGGGCTCCCCTTTGTTGACATGTTCTTGAGCATCTGTGCATTTTGTCCAGGATCTGGGAACAACTGGGACCTCCCCGAGGGACATGAGAACTGCCTTCAGGTCAGGCAAAGGCTAAGGTGCAGGTAGCTCCAGCAGGTGCTAACAAACTGACAACTGTGCTTGATCAAAGGGTGCCCACAGCCTCTCTTCCAGCTGACTCCTGATTACAGAATCAGAGAATATATCTCATAAGGATCATGGAGTCCAACTCCCTGCTCCTTGCAGGACTACCTAAAACTAAACCACATGATTAAGAGTGTCACCCAGATACTCCTTGAACTCCAACAGGCTTGGTGCCATGACCACTGCCCTGGGGAGCCTGTTCCAGTGACCACCCATCCTCTCAGTGAAGAAAGATTAGGGAGGGTCAAGCACCCTTTGAGGACCCCATGCCAGAGAGAGTCCTACATTAAAGCCAGGCCCAGAGCACAGCTCCCAAAGGCTATTAATAGATGCAAGCAGTTCATAGAGAAAAGGACAGTGAATTTTGTCTGACACACCCATCCTTAGATATGGTGGTCGCACACCACAGGACATGATCCCCAGGCACCGCTGGTGTAACTATCCCTTTGTTTTTGGACTCTTGGACTCAGACGGGAAGGATGCAGCTCTGCAAAGTCTCAGGCCACAGGGAGTACCTGGAGCCTCTTGCTGAGGCTAGGACACCATGGTCTTCTAGCATGCAGGTGTGCAGTTGTTGAGATGCTGTGATGCCAAATGAAAGAGCTGTGAGAGGTCAGCAGACCACACAGCCTCAGAGGGGATGAGAAAGATCAACCAGATCTTCCTTGAGACCCTGCAGCTTCAAGAGCCTGGACTTTCAACTGCAGCAGAAGAGCAGGAAGAGCCTATGCCTATGAAAATGGAAAGCAGAAACTCCCATCACAGTGAAGGCTGGAAGTCCACTGCCCTTGTAGATGTTGAGGACCCAGGAGCACTATCAATTGGAGCATCTGCTGTGGCTGAGACTGAGCCCCTCAGGACCACTAGAAGAAAGAAGCAAGTGACAGTGTTAAGAGACTCATTACTGCAGGGGATGGAAGCCCCCACCTGTCAAACTGATTTGTCATCTAAGGAGGTTTGCTGCTTGCTGGGATCTCACATTCAGGATGTTGTGTAAAGGCTGCCAAGGCTCGTTCAGCCTTCTCACTACTATTCCCTGCTGCTCTTCCTGATAGGCACCAATACAATTACCAGGGGTGACACGGAGAGTATCAAGCATGACTACAGGACTATGGGTACAGAGCTCAAGGGCATGGGGCCCAGGTGGTGCTGTTCTTGGTTGTGGCCACAATTGAGTTCTGGGTCCAGTTCATGGTTCTCCAGTACAAGAGAGACATGGCTGTACTGAAGCGGGTCCAGCACAGGGCAACAAAGCTGATAAAGTGACCAGAACATCTTTCATGCACTGAGAAGCTGAGAATGCTAAGACTACCCAGCCTAGAGAAGAGAAGGCTCAAAGGAATCTCATCCCCATGTATGAATACCTGGGGGGAGAATAAAGCAGCCGGAGATCCAGAGTGTTTTCAGTGTTGCCCAGTGATAGGACAAGAAGTAATGGCACAAACTGAAACGTGAGATTTCATCTGAACACAAGAAAAAACTTTTTTACTGGGGGGTGGGGGGTGCCACAGGGTACCCAAAAATGTTGTAGAGTCTTCATCTATGGAGATATTCAAAACCTGACTGGACACTGTTCTGAGAAACCTGCTGTAGCTGACCCTGCTTGAGCAGAAGGATTGGACTAGATGAACTCTAGAGACTCCTTCCAAGAGGGAAGAAAAGCAGAAGGGGTCCCAAATCTTACAAAAAATCTTCATTTGAGAAATTTTACAAGAATGTTTGTGGTAGTGATGCTGGTGGTGGAAGATATTCTGAAAAATCTAAATCCAAACAAGCCACAACGCTTTCTCAACTTGGAGCTCAACAAAACAAAAGCAACAATGGGGAAAAAAAAAAAAACAAAACAAAACCCAAAAACAACTGAGGAGAAAAATGGTCACTCTGAGTTCCAGTTAGTCATACTTACAGATTTAGCTTCTGTGGTGTTTTCTAGGTAATCCTCTCGAGATGCAAGAGAGAGGCTTGCTTGATCGAGCTGTTAAAAATAACAAGAAAAAGCATTTAATAGGTAAATTCGTCAGAATGCAAAGGTAGCCCTATAAGCAACCTTGGAAGAGATCATGTTTTTCTGGCAATTATGGCAGATGTGTGTAAATATCTAATACACAATACATTGCACCAGCCTGAGTTCCAGAGGATTTCCAAACAACAGAAAAATGCGAACACCAACAGACATTACCTAAATCACATTACTGTGATCTGGGGAGCCTCAGACACCTCCTGCAATATCTGAGCCACCTACTACAGCAAAGAATCACCCATGTGATTTATGTCTTTATGGCTCCATTAGTGCATAGGTAATACAATAGGACCGGGTCTACAGGATCAAACGTTTTGGGCTGATGACTGTTCATGCTATAGATATTTCAGGGATGAAAAAGTCAGCTTGAGACAAACACCAGTCTAACGTATGGGCCCATTAGGTGCTGGAGCATGTTAGCTGCTGTATGCCTGGAAAGTATCGTCAGCTTTCTTTGAAACTGAGGTTACATTCTTGAGCTTCACCCTAGATCAGCATCAAGTGCTGCATTTGGCTTTTTGAACAGATGTACTGAAACAGCTGGATACCAGCCACAGAAATGATTGCATGCATGCACGAGAAATTGTTATGTCTCCAGAACAAAAATAAATACATCTGGTAGATCCAGGTGGATCTTTGACTTTCACTTATCTTTTTGATCTAAACATGGACCAAATTTGTTGGTCTGTAGGCACACTAATATTGGAACAAGGTCCTCAAGGTAATTTCTAAACCAGTCCTGGAAATTCACCGAGATCTGCACTTAGTCTTTTGAGTGAAATGACTACAGGGGAGTATTCATGTACTGTTTCAAGTTCCTAACCAGGCAAAAATCACTGTGCACCAGATATCTTAAAATTGCTACTAGAAACCGAGTTTTCCCAAACCGCTTCAAGGCGATCAGGTTAAGTTGGGGTATGGAAGTTGAAGCTGAAAACATAGTTCAACCAGCTTCCAAACGCTGAATATGATACTGATGGAAACAGAAACAACAGTTTTGATGTTCTGAAATTATTATTTTTATGCTGTATTTGTAGTGAGGAGAGATTTTATTTATTCATGCAATTTCACATAAGTCTTTTTTAATCTAAATCCTACACCATTTATATTTCACATTTTATACATTTATAAAAATGACAAATAAATACAACTAGAATCTCAAAAGAATGAATAAATGTAATCTTTCCCCCTATTGACTGATGTTCTCAACCTTTAAAATAAACCATAAACAAAATAAAACAAATCATCCACTAAAAGGAGAGTAGCAATGATGCTCCGTGCAACTGTCATTCTTTGAAAAACAGCATCACCTTCTTTTTTCAGCATATTGAAGCAGAAAGAATATACTCTTATGCTTTGCATATGTGTGTCCTGGTAATAGTTAACTTCAGATGATTTGGTCTATTTCAATTATATGACTGTTGCATGAAATGCTCATCCAAATTTTCCTGGCTTAAGAGTTAGATTTGACAACCCATTGAAAGCAAGAAAGCACAAATATGAGGAATAAACAAAAAAGTTAACCAGCTTCTTCAGCCCTCCAGAAAAAAAGATCATGTTGAATGCTAAACAAATGTTTATTTGGAGTTTCTACTTTTTTCTGATCCATTCATGATTTTGCAATGCTGAACAAAAAAGAATTTTGCAATAGAGCCATTTTCACAAGCAGATTGAAACACTCTGTCGCACATCTGCACCCCTGGGAATTCGTTTAAAAATGGACAAAATAGAATACTGGCTGATGCATTCTGCAGATCAAGTTCTTAATCAAATTAACAGCAACAGAATACCCTAAGAATAATATGTTATCCATAGCAAGTAACGCTTCAGTTATTTAGATACGCAATTCTTAGGTGCCAATAAGCAGACTGAGTGAAGATACTGCCGGGTACAATTCATTCCAAAAGACCAGCAATAAAGATATAACTGCCCGGCCCTTTGCTGACAGGTGACTCAGACTGAAATATTATGGCAGGAGATACCTAAATAGCTCTCCTGATTCTACTGTTTCAGTTCTTTTAAACAAATCTCCAACTGAAGCAATCCTGACAGGATCTGAGCAGCATCTTAGCAGAATGACATCTTTAATACAGTGAACTGTTGATCTGCTGTTGACGTGACTGTTCAGAAAAATGTCCTAGAGGTGGAGAAAAGTTACCCTTCACTTTCACACCAGTTAAATGCCTCCATCAAAAGACATTTTAAAGAACTGACTCAGAATTGACATCCACTCCAGTACCACCACAGTTAACTGTTGTTTGAACCCCAAATACAATGTATTATTGGCTAGATTCCTACAGCTAGTCAAGATGCTAGCAACGTAAGGATCTTAGATCCTATTCTGCTGTGATGAGTGTCATCATATCTTTCTTCTTTGCCCCTTCTCTCTTGCCTTCATAAACTATTTTCTTGTAGCAGTGGAGGGCTGGTCTATTCTGGCTACTCATCTCTACTTCTTAAACAACAGTGCATTTGACCCAAGCACTCAGTCTTGCCATGGTGACATGCAACAGTCACAATTCTCTCCAGAGTTTTGTCAGACTACAGTGAGGCAACGTTGCTTGGGTCTTTTTCTCACTAATCTAAACTGTTGTGTAATGCCATGCACTGTTAACAAATTGGTAATGCCTTAGTCCAAAAGCAATAGCTTTTCAGTAAAAAAGTAAATTCTGTATTTCAGGTTTGGGATACATCCGTGTTGTAAGGTGCTGTATAAGCACAAGATAACGCATTTCCATCTCAAGAAAAATAGCTCAAGTTCAAAATATGTGCTACTGATGCACCATTCTTCATGTTCACAACAAAAAACATTCTTCATGCTACTGATGAGTCATAAGCAGCACCCAGGACACCCCCAGGACTGGATAACTGCCTCTCTCATTTTTACGCACATAGACGTTGGACATTGGTCCACTGAGAACATATTTTACCTTTTTTTGCCACTTGAAAGGAGATAATATCCTGTACAGAAATATTTTTCAATAGCACATGGTTCCTAGTGGCTTCTACACTCCCATAAGTTGGCACCTATCTACATCTGTAAGTCAGTAGATAATAGCAACAATAATCAGGTGAAAACATTTGGCACATAAACATGTTTTTAAAAAAAATGAGACCACAAAATACCATGCAAAGTGACCTATTAGATATGCTATATTTTACCTTCAGGATATACCGATTGGAGATTTTGTCATCAGCAGCCACATATAAACGGATGAAGACAGAGTTACTGTATTGACCACGAAGAGTTGCCAAGGCTTGGACTAAGCTAAACCTCCTTTCTGACCACAGTCCTTCAGGTCCAATGTTGGAGTCCAGCACAGGCCAGCGAAAAGGTGAATGCCTCAGTATACTTAACAGGGGTTTCACGTCAGCTTTTTCAATTTTATCTGAAATGTCAAAGTGTGACAACAATTACATTCCAGACAATTCAAATCCAGCAGCAGCCACACGAGACAAAAAGATTTATCGGCGTTGATTGATTTCTAAGCAAGACAAAACACAATAGCTGAAACCCAAAACCTCTGCTCTGCCTCTGAGCATAGAAGTGCGGGAGTCCAACCCAGTTTATCTGAATCAAGAATAAGAGAGCTAAATAAGTTCCTCTCAAAAAAGGCAAAGAGCTGGAATTAAGTCAATTAAAAAAAAAACATTCCTTGCTTAGGAATTAGCATAGAAACTTCACTGGTTCTGAGGGGGTTATTGTACATTATCAAAGCTACAGGGCGCAGCATCCCAGCACCGAGACTGGGGGGGCAGGCTGTCTCAATTGCTGAGAGTCTCAGGCCATGCTGGAAGAAATCTGCTCAGGAAATACAATCTGAAAGAGTCAGAAGGACAAAGGGCACTTTGAAGGACAAGGTCCGCTGCCTCCCAACTCATCTTTCACCCATGCAGCTGCATAAAGGTAGTGATGTGTCCCAACCTAGCGTACACCACCTCACAGCAACATTTACAAGCTCAGGAAAAGCGTTCCACAAACGTGGCTATAGGGCTCCCCATCCAAACTTGTTTGACATCCAGATAACTTGAAGCTAAAGACTCCACGGCTGCCTATACCCAGCCCTGTGGAAGTGTTTTGATTAAATGTATATAGAGAAAGCTAGAAGGTGCTGAGCAACAGGCTCTTGAAAGTATCAGTAGGAAAATTTCACCAGAGGGCTCCTCTGATTTACCAGGCACTACCCCTGCATCCCTGGGGCAGAGTTTTGGCATCCTTTTGCACAGATAAATATCCCTTCAGAGTTCCCCGACAAGCAGGGGTCTCTGTCAAACTGACTTCTTGTGCCTTGGTGTACCTCACCGAGGCAGCTTCAGAAACCAGTGGAAGACACTGCATTCAGTTGAATCCAAATCAGCAAAACCTGTGCATCTGCACAGGGCTTCACAGAGCTCAGCAAAGAGGTAGCACATATGTGTCCATCTCAAGTCAGGCCACTTACTCTCGTTCATGCAGGATGCGTAAAGGATCTTGGCCTTCTGTACAGCTTCACTGTCTCGTCTTTTGCTGATGGGTTTCTCGAGCAATGCTGGAAAAAGAAATTATCTTTTTTTTCAATATGTTGGAAAACTTAGGAACTGTCTGTTTGCCTGCCTCAGCATTTGCTTTAACCATAGCATTTATTTAATTAAGGATGAGGTTCCACGTGTATTTTCTTAAACAGTAACACAGACATAAGAGGTATTTGCACTTCTTCCACCCCCAATAGAGGATTATTTATTTATTTATTAAGAGGGTTGTTTTAAAGCCACTTGATAGATATTGTTTGTTGCTCATCCTCACAGACAGCCAACCTCAGCAAACTGAGGGGACAGGGAATCGTGGGGCAAGGGTGGGAACCAGCGCATGGGGTAGGAAGTCAGGAATTCTTGGTGGCTCAGCTTCTGGTGCCGGTACGTTGTGAAATTGTAGTCTAACAGAAAAGGTAACGGGATCCCAGGAGCAAGACTGCTGGCATTCACTTTTGCCAGCTCTGCTGCTGCTAAAAGCAAACAGCAGAGAACTGCCCTGTTGACTGTCAAACACACACAACCTCAGTCTTTTAAATGACACAGAAGGCCAAGTGTCCAACTACTATTTGAAAACTGCGCAGCTCCTTCTTACTATAGGTGTCAACATACTTCGTGCCTAAAAGCCAAACTAGCTTTTCTAAACTGTCATCTCTCTGCATTCCTTGCATTCCTCACATTATGTTATGGAAGTGAAATAGCATGAAAAGCGCATCTGAATCTCAGCAGTCTGCTCTCAGCTGTTTCAAGCCATTTTATCCAAGTTATAAATCAGCCATGATGCAGTTGCAGATACACATACTATGGCTAAATGCAGAGGCAGCTTAGCTTCACTGAAATCTATAAGCTCTGGTGCAGCACAGCATGAGCACTTCCATGGCCAAGAGAAGCAGGGTAGTACTGGAGCACAGCACGGAAACAGGGCTAGCAAACCCTGTCAGACCTCATCTGGTTTTGTAAGACCCGGACAGGTCCTGCCCAGCATTAACCTTATTGTTACTGGGACCACTGGGGAGAGTGGCTTTGCTGGAACCATCCCAAGTCCCTCCTGTTGTACACTCAGTAGAGCTAAGAAGCCTTGAAAAATTCAAGAGTACCTTCCCTATGCTCCCCAGTGCTCTGGGTGTCAAGAGGGTTTATGAGCAAAGGCACGGTGCAGATCGGCCCTGTGTGATGCTGTGCCTGAGCTAAGCAGCACACCCCACACAAAAGAGGGAATAAAGGGCAACACAGGAGTCCCTGTGGCCCTATGCCGAAGTCAGCAGAGGGCCACTGGGACTTCATAACACCAGCCGTGGCAAAACCAAACTGCTTCCAGCCAAAGTTTAATCAGGCGTCAATACAACATTTTTCTTCTCTGTCAGTACTGGCCGGGGTGATCCCGAGCACTGAAGAGCAGCACCCTCCCGCAAACAGGCATCAGCTGCTCGCTCTCCAGCCCCTGCCCTTCCCAGCAGATCACCAGAGTCCTCTCTCCAACGTCGCCTCTCACAGGAGGCAAAGCCCGGCTGGGTGGTACCACTAGATTCTGCAGCTGAGAACGGTCTGGGTTTGCACTGCTCCACTCAGTATTAGGAACTCACTGTTGGAGGTAGGATTTAAAGACATTTATTTCCCAGGATTTCCCTAGCACCTTGAAGAACCTGCCATGCTGGACCTTTCAGATATTCCCCGTCTGTGCTCACGTGAGCACTCAGGAGACCATACTGCTGACATCAAAGTGTTTATTAGTCAAAGAATATCCTAGTAATGAACAAATGCCACTTGTTCTCTCCCTCCGTTCACTTTTCTCCTTAAAAAAACCCCAAACCTTGTTTGCTTGGATCTTTGATAAATGTAATGAGATAATCCCTTTTAGTTATGGACAACCTTTTCCCTAAAAATGCTGCTGGACAGGATTCCCAATAGCTTTGGTTTCATAATCCTCAAATAGTTAATATTTCTCAGCTTGTTAAATACCATATAATATCAATCATTGACATGCAACTGCAATGTGCACAGTTCTTAGCAGAATAATCAGGCCTGTTCATGTTTTAAGAACAGCATTTAAAAAGAAACTATAAATGGAACCTACATAAAACTAAGGATGAAAAAATACACTCTTATTAAAGCCATTGCAATAACTTCTGTTCCTTGCCAGTGAGCTGCACAGCCATGAAATTTTGAAGCTAATAAAATTCAATGGCTAAAGCCCAACTAAAGCTCAGGAGAGATACAGAGGATGAGATCTAGTAAAATAAAATCAACTGTAAGAATGCACCTGCATAAAATCCTGTTAAACTTGGACCTGGTGTTTTCCCATCAAACCATCTCATTATGCAACAGAATGAAGCTGTAACACTCCCTGCACTTTTGCAAAGAATGAGGTGGGGTAGATGCTGCCACTTTGCTCAGAATTGATTTATGAAGAAAATTCTTGATTCTGATAACATAAAATCCAGTGATTAAACATGAAAGCCTTAAAGAGATGGTTGAATCCTGTGGACACTGAAATAGACGATGTGATCCATCTGCACTCTTTAGGCTATAGATGTTCCTCAAGCTTCCAGAAGGATTTAGAAGCTCAAACCCGGAGCACTGGTCAGATCCACTTGATTTCTACATTAGCTAACATAAAATCCAAATACAAGGTTTAGAAATTCTCTTATTTAACTCACAAATATATTGGGATTTTACAGGTCCTTGAATATTTAAATTCTTCTTCAAGAAGAGCAAGAAAAGGCAAGAAGCAATGCATACGAATCACAAATATTTGTAATCAGTTAGCCTATCTACAGGCTGCTGTATCCATGGGGAAAAAAAAAAAATCACTCCCGTGATTGATTGAAATCAATGGAGAGACATCAAGCTCCCTTTAAAATAGCAGTGCTGGGTACCGTGAGTAGCCTGGCCGTAGCAGCAGGCTGCGACAGCCCCTCTCCTGCACTGAGCATGGGTCATGGCACTCCGAGCTCCGCAGTGCAGCGCTTTGAAGAGCTGCAGGTCTCTGCTCCCCGAGGACCTCTGCAAGTTGAACAGACCTGCCTCGGGGCTATCCTGCTCTCACCAGCACAGAGAGGCACTCTGAATAGCGCTCCGGCTCTCGACATGCAATGTGGCATTTCAGGCTCTCGTCTACGCTGAGGAAAATGCCACCTGGTGACCCACAGAGAGCAAATCCGGTCCCTCTGCCAAAATTCAACTCAACTACAGCTGGCTGGGAGGATTGTCTTTCCAACTTGAAAAGTTTTAATGGCTTCAGATATTTTCTGTTTGGACACCAGAACGAAAGCAAAACTTATGAGGTCTTCCAAGAGAAAGACCAGATCAGTTAACGTTCAGCCTGACGAGGTACTCACAGACCTGCTGTTGAGTTTCCTACTCTGCCTTTCCAAATGCCTGCTCTCACACCTCACCAGGGGATTGTGTGTATTCATGCAAATCCACTGAGAAGTTCGGTCTAATAGGTTTTCCTAAAGTTCAGTGGCTGGAATTAAAAACTGTGACCAAGCTAAGGAGATCAGGGTTACCAGCATTTTCACTAAAGCAGCCTGCTCAGCACTAGGAAGGACATTGAGTTTGTTGTTCTTGTGGTTTTCTCTATTATTATTATTTTTAACTGCAAGTTTTCTTGCTTCAAAATGAAAAGCTCCAACTCCCTGAAGTAATCTTCCATTTTAGGACTCCATACATCAACTGAATTCAACTTGAGTCTATAGACAGTTTCAACAGACCAAAAAAATATATCCTTCACCAGGTTCACTGATTGTGAAAGAAATTTTATCTAGCTTTGATCAGCATCTTTTAGCTTCATCTTTAAATAAGAATTTTTAGGAACAAATGGCTTTGACCAGCCTAGGAAACACACAGCACTCCAACGAGATTAAAAAAACTCCCTTGAAGTAACAGTTCATTTGTTAGCTCCCAGTTAAATGTTCCAGTGCTAGAGATGGAACAGCAATCTAGCTGAAGAGATTAAGCTGATTTACAGCCCTTTGAAAGAGCACAGGATTATTATTATTAGCAGTAACCACAATTTAAGAACTTATTGCCGCTACTGACTTATAACACTAGCCTGCCGCAATTGCAAATCGGAATATCATAGCCAAAGATCACCAGGACAAGCAAAGTGAACCAGCACAGCTAAGCCACCTTGAACATAAAGGCTGCAATCCAGCCAAACATAAAGTAGACATTTGAATGGCTGTTCTAGCAAAGCAGCTCTTCTTTAGTCACATCTTTTACCTCCTTTACTTTTGAATTAAGTCCATTCCCTTTAGGATAAAAGGGGTCTTGGCCTGTGCTACTGATCTTGGCACCTTGTTGTCCACGTTTCCGCATGCACATGATGCCCAGATGCAAGATTTATGTTTCTCTTCACATAAAACTTAGTCATGGCAAGTGTCAAAACCTATTGGTAATCCCGCTCCGCAGTGCTGAAATAATATAATGTAGTGGCTTAATGAGATAAGTCAGAAACTGGCTAAAGGTATTCATGATATCCCAAACTTTCTGAGGTTGGGAATTGCTTCATCATTTGTTTTCTTCTACAGAGAGGCTGAGGGCAGGGAGGTTCTCATTGCAAATCAAAGTTCTCGTATTTCTGGCAGTCCAGGTCCGGTGGGTTTGCATCATTGCTCTCCCTGGCTCTTGTACAAAACACAAAGACTCGGCCTGGCCAACAAAAAAAAAAAAAAGCTGGGAACGATCCTCAGTTGTCTGAACTGAAGATGCTCAGAGAGACAGCCAAGGAAAAAAAGCCGCAGTGGGGGGGCGGGGAGCTGGGTTGGGAAGGAAGGAAGTTTATACTGAGTTGCCTGCGGACAGCTCTTTTCCAGGGCAAGAGGGCTAAAAAAGGCCAGCTTCCTGTGGTGCACTACCCTACAGTAAATAGCAATCATCTGCTGTTAAAAGTGAGAGCAAGGCAAAGTAATTTACAAAGTAATCTTTGCTAGTGTGTGTGTATGTTTATTCAACTGCATACTATTCTGAAGCTACTAAGGATAGGCTTGTGGCTAAATGTTACCTTTAATCTTACTTT